TTTGGAAATAATCCATTGCAAAGTATTCATTTATATTGAGAAAACTCGCCTGCTAATTTCTTCCCATGTCTCTGAATCCTGATGAGCTGGGGCTGTCATGATTCAGCACCATGGACTCCTGGGCCTACTTCCTGCTAGTTCAGACTTCTAGTCTTACGGGGAGCCTAAATGTTTACTGTGATGCCATTTCTGGTTCTGGGGAGAAGAGGAGACCTGAGCTTGTTTATGGATCAGGTGACAGAGGTAGGGGCTGCACTAGGAAGACTTGCTCTGGCTCCCTCACTCAAGATCTTTCTTTCTTCTTCCAGTTATGCCTGAGGTGATTGTGTATCCATCAAAGATGGCTCCCCTGGGACACCACAACCTGCTTGTCTGCTCTGTCAGTGGTTTCTGTCCTGGAAACATTGAGGTCAGGTGGTTCCTGAATAGGCAGGAGGAGACAGCAGGGATTGTGTCCACAGGCCTCATCAGCAATGGAGACTGGACCTACCAGATCCTGGTGATGCTGGAAATGACCCCCAAGCGTGGAGACATCTACACCTGCCAAGTGGAGCACTCCAGCCTTCAGAAACCTGCCATGTTGAATTGGAGTGAGATACAGCTCCCTCACCCTCCAGTTCTAACATTGCTCAGGACATGGAGCTAGCTTTGAGATCCCCTCAGTGTGTGCCCTGTGCCTTGTTTTCTTCTGCCCTGGGCTAATACAAACACTTTCCCCTCCACTTTTTCCCAACCCTTGAATGGCAATGCTGACCTAAGAGCTATGGAGACCTAGAACCTTGTCAGCCTCTTCACTGGCCCCAGCCCTGGGAGCTGGCCTCTTTATCAGACTCTGTGATCAGCCTATAGACCCCTTCCCCTGGGGTAGGGGGGCTATGCTTTGAGACAGATTGATGTCACTATCCCTGGATGAGCTTTCAGTTCCTGAGTCCTGAAAAGTCCTTTGCACATCCATCTCTTCCTTTCTTAGACAGGATTTAGCCCCTTCTCAGGCTCCCCTCAGACCCATCTGCTCCCCACATGGGGCTGGCTCCTGGAGGAAAAGTTTTGATCCTTGGTGTCTTCTCCCCAGAAGCACAGTCTGAATCTGCCCAGAGTAAGATGCTGAGTGGAGTCAGGGGCCTCGTGCTGGGGCTGATCTTCTTTGGGGTTGGCCTCATTGTCCACAAGAGGAGTCAGAAAGGTGGGATACTCTGGAGAAAGCCCTATGGCCCCTCCCCTCCATGATCTCCTCCAGGAGAGAGGATATTTGATTGTGTCAGAAATCTGGCCCCAGGTCAGGGGTGAAGGGATGCTCTGGCTCTGGAGTCATGTTTTCCTTCCCTAGGAACTTGTAGAAGGTGGTGAAGGGGCCAGATCCCAGGGCTCAAAGGTCTTAGGGAATTTCATATTTACTAGGAGAGACAGACTGGGGAGGGGTCTGAGGTTCCAGCTTTAGACCCTCCCACATGCTTCTCTTTCTCTTCTCATCCACTCACACAATTGTAGAAGGATGGATAAAACATCTATTACATGTTTCCTCTGTGGTGTAAGGTATTGGGCTAAGTAGTGTTAGGAGCCACCTGTCCCACAGTGCTCAGAACCTTGGTACCCTTTGCTTCTATGACTCTAGGATTTACAAGGATTTGTATGTCTGTCTCTCTTCCTTCCTTTCGCAGGAAATCAAGGTTCTCAACCAAGAGGTAAGATACTTCTACCCAGGTAGCATCAGGGTTCTCATAGCTACAGTCTCTGCCCAGTGGGCACTTAAGCTAAGAAGAGACTTGGGGCCCCTTAGTAGGAAGAAATGGTTCTACTTGGGGGCTCAAATATGACTGTTCTGTGTCCTCTGCAGAGCTCCTGAGCTGGTCCCTGAGGCTGTGTCCCCTGGAACTGCTGTGTCCCCTCAGTCTCCCTCCCATGTTTGGAGGCCCCTGCTTGTGCCCAGAGCTCCAGGAGATTAGTTCTACTGACTCCTTCCCTGGAATAGCTCCTTCCCTTTACCTTTGTCTCTGTCTCAACTCTTTAGCATTTCCCCAGCAGAGTTTCAAAGAGCCCTTCCACTGTCCTTTATTCCTGAACAGGGTTTTATCCATTTAATTCCTTGAGCCTCTACCCTAATAAATGAGAAGACTGAGAATTAAGTGGTGCTTGGTGACACAGAGACAAATTGAGGGGAGCAGAGGGAGGAAACTTCAGCACTGGGGATTTGTAGAGTCTGTCAAAGTGTGAAATGCCTCCAGAGGTACAGATTGCAATCCATCCACACCTTTTCATCCTGGTTGCCTCTTGTCCATTTCCTTCAATAATTTCTGCAGAAGTTGATTAACCAGCATGTAGACCTTCCTCTGCATTTCTTGATATTACAGAGATACTGGTGCCTTAATGGGCGGTCTGCCCAGAAATCCTTAGCTTTCCCTCTGTGATGGGCTCGCCTCATTCTGGTGATACATCTCTCTAATGCCTTTCCTTCTATCACTCCTACTCAGTTCTTCTTTTATGGTGTACTGTAGCTTGTGCTTGCTTATCGTGTGCCTCTCCATTGAACTTTTTTAAAAATTAAAGTTTTAATGATACATTTTGTGTTTGCATTTATTCATTGCTAAATATATACCCTACCCCATTGCCTTTTCTCATAATGAAATTTTTACCCAAAAGTTCCATAACGACTCTCACATTGATCACATATATCCAACAGTATATGCAACAATACATACCCATAGTCTTCTCACTTCTTCCATGAAATGTTTATTTTCTCTTCTCTGTGGCCAAGCTTGGTAACTCTAATTCCATAACATTCAACATCATTCCCTCCCACTCCATTTTGTAGTATTGAGTATGTTTCTTTGATGGTTCTGCTCACACTCTTCCATATCAGTTCATTTAAGTCTTTCCATGTTTCCCTGAATTGTTCATTTTCATTCTTTCTTCTGTTACAACACAATTCCATTTCATTCATGTGCCACAATTTGCTTAGCCCTTTCTCAGTTGATGGGCATCTGCTTTGTTTCTACTTCTTTACTACCACAAAGTGTTGCAATGAATGTTTTGATATATATGTGTGTCTGAGATTTTTTTCCTTATCTTTGACAACCCTTGGCATATATATTAAGCTGTGGGATCTCAGGATCAAAAGGTATGGAGATGTTAACACTTTTGAGCATAATTCCAAATTATTTTTCATGATTGTTGTACCAGTTCACAGCTCCACAAATAGGCATCAATCTACCTGTCTTTGTGTATTTCTTCCTACATTGACCATTTTCGTGTGTATCACCTTGGAAGACTTGCTGGAGAAGAGGGGAAACCTTGGAGTTGTTTTAATTTCCATTTCTCTCATTGTAAGTGATTTGGAGCAAACTTGAGAACTATTAATTTCCTTTGACCACTTATCTACTGGTGAAGACTCTTGGACTTAGAGATTTGTGTTCATTCCTTACATGTCTTGGTTAATAGGCTTTTATCAGAGACAATTAAGGCAAAGACATTCCTCATCAACAATTATTCTAGCTGTTGATGTTGTCATGCAAAGGCTTCTCAATTTTCAGTAATCAAAACTGTTTTCTCCTCTGGGTTTCTTCAAATTCTAATTTAGTTAACAATTCTCCCCATTGGCCACAGTTATGGAATCTACTTCCAAGCATTTCCTGGAACTTTGGTAGAAGTTTGTTAGCTTTTTATTAGTGACAATTACTGAGTCTTATCTAAGATTCCCCCTGTGTTAGTGCTATTTGAGCTAAGTAGAAGGAAATTGTTAAAAAATCACCACACCATTTACCCAAAATGCTTAGGAGGAAATGCTTTCTAAATGAGTGATTTTTTTTGTGGTCAGTTCATCGCCATGCAAGGGGTAGGGATGCCCAGAATTTGCCTTTACTTAATGAGGTTTACTGGAGACCATTCTTGACCAGCAGAAGTGTCAGCATGGGTGAAAATGAGGATGCTGGGGCAATTGCTCTCCATCCAAGTTGGGCTCTTCTCCCTCTTTGGAGAATACAAAAGCCTGTCAGTGTGAGAGCAGTAAATGGGAGCTGGGGAGATGTGGCAGCTCCCTAAAGGGCTGGTAGGGGATGACACACCCAAAAGTAGCTCAGCTACTTTTCCTTTTTGGACAGAAACAATATCATCTCTGAGCAATGTTTCAGTTTTCAGATTCCCATAGATTCTAATCCATTGGAATGTTTATCTTTTTTATCTCCACCAATGAACATTTGGAAGGATGCAGACATTTGTTATTATTCCTAGCATCTAGGCTGCCAAACTCCTTTATTTGGCTCAGTATGAATCTTATCTATGAAATCATCATTTTTGGAAACAAAGATCTCCAAAATTTAGAGATGTAAGGTAAAGCAGAAGAAAACAATAAATCACACAGGGAAGTAAGAAACTAAATGATTGTTAGGAGCTCGTGAATCCCAAGAGAGTTCTCTTTAATCTATAAGTAACCTGTCCATTTCCAAGAGAATTGCCTTTTGTGCATGTTCTTTGATGAGAAAGCAATAAACCATGGATTCAAGGAATTCATTGTTTTCTTTGCTACATTTTCTAGCAATCAATGCCATTTGATTATCTTTTAGAGATCTAGAGTTGGAAGAGACCTCCGAGGCCATCTAGGCTAAACACTTCATTTTATAGAGGAGGAAGATGAGATAAGATTAGTCAAATCAATAAGTAAACATTGATTAAGTGACTTTTGTGAGCCAGGCACTGTGGTAAGTGCTGGGGATACAAAGAAAGGCAGAAAACAATCCTTGCTTTGAAGGAGTTCTCTTTCTAAAAGTCAAATGGGATTTTATTTTTGTTCCTGTAGGTAATAGAGGGCTACTGGAGTTTATTGAATAGGATAATAACATGGTCATATTTATACTTTGTTTTTTTAAATAGTATTTTATTTTATTCTGATTACATGTAAAGACAATTGTCAATGTTTTTTTAATTAATTTATTTATTTATTTTTAGTTTTCAGCATTCATTTCCACAAATTTGAGTTTCAATTTTTCTCCTATCTCTCCCCTCTCCTTACTGCAATATGGCATGCATTCTGCATACCCCTTCCCCCAATCTGTCCTCTATTCTATCATCCCCCTCCACTTCTCTTATCCTTCTCCCCTTCTATTTTCCTATAGGGCAGGATAGATTTCTGTACCACATTGTCTGTATATCTTATTTCCCAATTGTATATAAAAACAATTAACATTCATTTTTTAAACTTTGGGTTCCAAATTTTCTCTGTTCCTCCCTCCTAACCCACCTTCATTGAGAGGGCAAGCAATTCCATATAGGTTATACATGTGTAGTCATCATGTTGTGAAAAAATAAGTATATTTCCCTTCTTCCTATCCCACCCCCCCCACATATTCTATTCTCTCTTTTGACCCTGTCCCTCCTCAGAAGTGTTTACTTCTGATTATCCCCTCCTCTAACCTGCCCTCATTCCTGTCATCACCCCCCCTCTTATCCTCTTCTCTCCTCTTTTCCTGTAGGGTAAGATAGATTTCCATACCAAATTGGGTGTGTATGTTATTCCCTCCTTAAGCCAAATCCAATGAGAGTAAGATTCACTCATTCCCTCTCACCTTCCCCCTCCTCCCCTCCAGTGTAAAAGCTTTTTCTTGCCTCTTTTATGTAAGACAATTTGCCCCACTCTACCTCTTCCTTTCTCTTTCTCCCAGTACAAGCCGTTCTCACCTCTTGATTTTATTTTTTAAATATCATCCCTTCATATTCAACTCATCCTATGCCCTCTGTCTAGATGGATAGATAGATAGGTAGATAGATATAGATATAGATAGATACAGATATAGATAGATAGATATAGATATAGATATATAGATATTTGTCTATATATATATTCCCTCCAACTACCCTAACGTTGGGAAAGGTCTCATGAGTTACAAATGTCATCTTTCCATTTAGGAATTCAAACAGTTCAACTTTAATAAGTCTCTTATGATTTTTCTTTCCTGTTTACCTTTTCATGCCTCTCTTGAGTATTATATTTGAAAGTCAAATTTTCTATCTAGCTCTGGTCTTTTCATCAAGAATGCTTGAAAGTCCTCTATTTCATTGAATATCCATTTTTCCCTTGAAGGATTATACTCAGTTTTGCTGGGTAGGTGATTCTTGGTTTTAATCTTAGCTCCTTTGCCCCTGGAATATCATATTCCAAGCCCTCTGATCCCTTAATGTAGAAACTGCTAAGTCTTGTGTTATCCTGATTGTGTTTCCAATATACTTGAATTGTTTCTTTCTGGTTGCTTCCAATATTTTCTCCGTAATCTGGGAACTCTGGAATTTGGCCAAAGTATTCCTAGGACTGTGCCTTTTGGATCTCTTTCAGGAGGTGATTGGTGGATTCTTTCAATTTCTATTTTGCCCTTTGGTTCTAGAATATCAGGGCAATTTTCCTTGATAATTTCTTGAAAGATGATGTCTAGGCTCTTTTTTTGATCATGGCTTTCAGGTAGTCCAAAAATTTTTAAATTATATCTCTTGGATCTATTTTCCAGGTCAGTTGTCTTTTCAAGGAGATATTTCACATTGTTTTCTTTTTTTTCATTATTTTGGTTTTGTTTTACAATGTCTTAATTTCTCATAGAATCATTAGCTTCCAAATGCTCCATTCTAATTTTTAAGAAATTATTTTCTTCAATGAGCTTTTGGACCTCCTTTTCCATTTGGCCAATTCTGCTTTTTAAGGCATTCTTCTCTTTGTTGACTTTTTGGATTTCTTCTGCCATTTGGGTTAGTCTATTTTTAAGGTGTTATTTTCTTCAGTATTTTTTGGGTCTCCTTTAGCAAGCTGTTGCCTTGTTTTTCATTATTTTATTGCATCACTCTCATTTTTCTTCCCAATTTTTCGTCTACTTTTCTTATTTAGTTTTCAAAATCCTTTTTGAGCTCTTCCATGGCCTGAGACCAATTTATATT